AAGCGGTACTATGACAGAAATTCATAGCTGTAAGTGCCTACATCAAAAAAGAAGAAAAACTTCACACAAATAACCTAATGATGCATCTTAGAGAACTAGAAAAGCAAGAGCAACCCAAAACCAAAACTACCTGACTTCAAATTATACTACAGAGCTATAAGAATCAAAGAGCATGGTACTGGCATAAAAACAGACACATAGACCAATGGAACAGAACAAAAATACACAGAATAGCCAAAGCTATCCTTGTCAAAAAGAACAAAACTGGAGGAATCAAATTACCTGACTTCAAATTATGCTTCAGAGCTATAGGAACCAAAATAGCATGGTACTGGCAAAAAAAACAAACAAACAAAAAAAAAAAAACAAAAAAAAAACCACCAGACACATAGACAATGGAGCAGAACAGACAACTCAGAAAGATATTCGCACACCTACAGTTAATTCATTTTTTTTTCTGGGATGGAGTCTAGTTCTGTCGTCCATGCTGGAGTGCAGTGGCGCAATCTCGGCTCACTGCAACCTCCGCCTTCTGGGTTCAAGCAATTCTCCTGCCTCAGCCTCCTGAGCAGCTGGGATTACAGGCACCTGCCACCACACCCAGCTAATTTTTGTGTTTTTAGTAGAGATGGGGTTTCACTGTGTTGGCCAGACTGGTCTCGAACTCCTGACCTCGTGATTGACTTGCCTCGGACTCCCAAAGTGCTGGGTTTACAAGCATGAGCCACCATGCCTGGCCAGTGAATTCATTTTTAACAAAATTGCCAGAAACATACAGTGAGAAAGAGGAAAAGACAGTTTTTTGTTTTTTTTTTCTGAGATGGAGTTTTTGCTCTTGTTGCCCAGGCTGGAGTGCAATGGTGTGATCTCAGCTCACTGCAATCTCCACCTCCTGGGTTCAAGTGATTCTCCTGTCTCAGCCTCCCAAGTAGCTGGGATTACAGGCGTGTGCCACCACACCCAGCTAATTTTGCATTTTTTTTAGTAGAGATGGGCGTTTCTCCATGTTGGTCAGGCTGGTCTTGAACTCCCGACCTCAGGTACTCCGCCCACCTCAGCCTCCCAAAGTGCTGGGATTACAAGTGTGAGCCACCACACCAGGCCGAAAGGACAGTCTTTTCAATAAGTGTTGCAGGGAAAACTGGATATCCATATGAAGAATGAAACTAGACCCTTGCCATATACAAATGGATTAAAGACTTAAATTTAAGACTCCAAACTATGAAATTAGTACAAGAAAACATTGGGGAAACTCCAAGACACCGGTCTGGGCAAAAATTTCTTGAGTACTATCCCATAAGCACAGACAACCAAAACAAAAATGGACAAATGGGATTATACCAAGTTCTAAAGCTTCTGCACAGCAAAGGAAACAACCGACAAAGTGAAGAGACAACCCACAGAAGGGGAGTAAATATTTGCAAACCACAAACCACCCCTCTGACAAGGGATTAATAACCAGAATATACAAAGAGCTCAAACAAGTGTGTAGGGAAAAACTTAATAATCCAATTTTTTAAATGGGCAAAAGTTTTGTATAGACATTTATCAAAAGAAAACATACAAATGTCCAACAGGCATATGAAAATGTGCTCAATATCATTGACCATCAGAGAAATGTAAATCAAAGATATAATTAGATATCATCTTTCCCCAGAAAAAATTGATTTTATCCAAAAGTTTGATAATAACAAATGCTGGTAAGGGTGTGGAGAAAAGGAAACCCCCTTACACTGTTGATGAGAATGTAAGTTAGTACAATCACTATAGAGAACAGTTTGGAGCTTTCTCAAAATATTAAAAATAGAGCTAAATAGGACCCAGCAATCCCACTGCTGGATCATATACCCAAAAGAAAGGAAATCAGTATGCCAAAGAGATGCCTGTACTCCCATGTTTGTTGCAGCAGTGTTCACAGTAACCAGGATTTGGAAGCAACCTAAGTGTCCATCAACAGATGAATGGATAAAGAAAACATTGTACTTATACACAATGGAGTACTATTTAGCCATAAAAATGAATGAGATTCTGTCACTTTTAACAATATGGATGGAACTGGAGGTCATTATGTTAAGTGAAATAAGCCAGGCACAGAAAATACAAACATGGCATGTTCTTACTTTTTTTGTGTGGATTCTAAAAATCAAATAATTGAACTCATGGAGATAGAGAGTAGAGGAATGATTACCAGAGGCTGGGAAAGGTAGTAGGGGGTTGGGGAGGAGGTGGGGATTGTCAATGGATACCAAAAAAAGTAGTTAGAAAAAATGGGTAGGCGCGGTGGCTCACACTTGTAATCCCAGCACTTTGGGAGGCCAAGGTGGGTAGATCCCCTGAAGTCAGACCAGCCTGGCCAACATGGCAAAACCCTATCTCTACTAAAAACACCAAAAAAATTAGCCGGGTGTGGTGGCCCGCACCTGTAGTCACAGCTACTTGGGGAGGCTGAGGCAGGAGAATCGCTAGAACTCGGGAGGCAGAGGCTGCAGAGAGTTGAGATCAAGCCACTGCACTCCAGCCTGGGCAACAGAGCGAAACTCTGTCTCAAAAAAAATAAAAAAAAAAAAAGAAAGAATGAATAAAATCTAGTATTTGATAGCACAATAGGGTGACTATAGTCAATAACTATTTAAGTATACATTTTAAAATAACAAAAAGTATGTAATTAGATTGTTTCTAACACACAGGATAAATGCTTGAGGGGATGGATACCCAATTTTCCATAATGTTATTATTAAGCATTCCATGGCTATACTAAAATATCTCATGTAATTCATAAATATATATACCTACTATATACCCACAAACATTAAAAATTTTAAAAAATTTAAAAAAGATCCACATAAACATATATATTCTCTACTGTGACAAAAATGGATTGTCACAATACAAAAATACATTGTCTCAAACATGTATAGTTTTAATTAAAATATAAACCTAAAGGGAGTTTCAACATGATAATTAATAAAGTTAGTTTGCTGAGCAAGGTGGTTCATGCCTATAATCCCAGAACTTAGGGAGGCAGAGGTGGGAGGATAGCTTGATCCCAGGAGTTTGAGACCTGCCTGGGCAACATACTGAGAACCCATTCTCCACAAAAAGGAAAAAAAAAGAAGATCAAAAAAGGGCGAATTTAACAAGGGTATATCAAATTTTTAAACTTGGTACCATTTATGCAACACCATTTCATTGTTTAGGAATCAAATTCATTTCTTCAAACTATATACACTTTATGTGGCAACTACACATGCTACATGGCTCTCAACTTTAATTTTCAAAAAGATGTTTTTTGTGGTTGCATTTAAGCAGGCAGTTTCACATTGCAATTAGGTCATGCTGAAAATAAAGGCCAATTGCTACATTCAGTATTCTTATGTCTGGTTTTACCAAAACATTTGTGCTGGATGTCTGAAAAAAATTCACATGCAAAACATCTAACTATTAAAGAAAAAGTGTATTATAGATTTTTTAAAGTACAAAGCCTAATCTCATTTCAAAAATTGAAAAATAAAAAGAAGAAAAATGAGGAGGGAAAAAATCATAATCAATCTTATAGCCCAAAACAGCTACTGCTGATGTTTCAGTGTTAATTTTCCATACTTTTTTTTTTTTTGAAACAGGGTCTGTCGTCCAGGCTGGAGTGCAGTGGCCTGATAATGATCATGGCTCACTGCAACATTTACCTCCTGGGTTCAAGGGCTCTTCCAACCTCAGCCCCCCAAATACTGGGACTGTATATAGGTGCAAGCCACCAAGCCTAGCTAATTTTTTGGTATTTTTTAGTAGAGACAGGGTTTCTCCATGTTGCCCAGGCTGCTCTCAAATTCCTGTACTCAAGTGATCTGCCTGCCTGAGCCTCCCAAAGTGCTAGGATTACAGGCGTGAGCCACGATACCCAGCCTCCTATACTTATTTCTATATCTATATGAATGTGCAACATGTCCATAAATCCTTATGAAACTTATATTAGGTACAAACAACTTGGAGAGCAACAGAGAGGAAATCTGTCCAATACTTAAATGTATCTTGTTTTGTAGTTTTTTGTTGTTGTTGTTGTTGTTTTTTTTTTTTTTTTTTTTTTTTGAGACAGAGTCTTGATCTGTCACCCAGGCTGGAGTTCAGTGGCACAAACACGGCTCATTGCAGCCTTGACCTTCCCACTCAGCTGATCTTCCCACCTCAGCTTCCCAAGTAGCTGGGACTACAGGCACCATCTGCCTCTTCCAGCTAAGGTGTTTTTTTTTGTTTTTGGTTTTGTTTTTGTTTTCAGTAGCGATGGGGTTTTGCCATGTTGCCGAGGCTGATCTCGAACTCCTGGGCTCAAGCAATCCTCCCTCCTTAGCCTCCCAAGGTGCTGCAATTGCAGCTGTGAGCCACCACAACTGGCCTGGTTTTGTAGTTTTTGTTTTCCAAATAATAACCCTTTTTTTTTTTATACTGAATGCTTCCATCCTGTTATGTTTTACAACTTAAATGATAGTGATTATAGTGAAAGCTAAGATTCTTGCAATAAGATGGGCTGAATTATGCATAAGTCTTTTCAGTGTGGCATTTTTCTATCTTATGTATCTGTTATCTTTATGGACACTTATTTTTTAAAACAAAAAATTAGTAACTCTAATTTCTTATTATTTCTTTCTTTTGCTTATTGCATTACATATATCTCACACATTCTTTCCAATGTCCGTAGCACATATATATAAACTGATCATATACTAGACCACAGAGAAAGCCTAAGTCTTAAATTACGAAAACTTCTACAAGTCTAATTTTCTGAATAGGAGGGATTCAAATTCAACGACCCAAGTGTTGAAACAAACAAAAACAGAAAACAACACTACTCAGTTAATAGATTATTATGGTTTTGGCTTCTTGAGTAGGAGGAAAGTCGGGCAGGTAGGGCCTCCAGAATGCCGGTGACACGTGAATGGGGCCGTGTGCAAACCTTGTATGACATCACTGAGAACCCTAGAGGAAAACAGCTATTTCCTTCTAAGCCGCCCTAAGGGAAGTTGCGCGGTGGCCTCCCGGGCCGAGGTGGGCCTGCTCACTGGAAGATCGCACCGCAGCCATGAGTAGCAACGATTCCTTCACTTCCTTCACGTGTGGACGCTCTGGCTGCTCGGCCCCGGGATGCCCTAGAGGAGGAGCTGGAGGGAGAGGAGGTAGAGGCCATGGCAGAGGTTCTCAATGCAGTTCCATGTCCCTATCATACACCTGTTACCGCTGCGGTGAGTCTGGTCATCAAGCTAAGAACTGTGTCCTCGGAAACATCTGCTACAACTGTGGGAGAAGCGGCCACATCGCCAAAGACTGTAACGAACCTAAACGAGAGAGAGACCAATGCTGTTATACCTGCGGCAGACCAGGACATCAGGCTTGTGACTGTGATCATCAGAAAGAGCAGAAATGCTATGCTTGCGGCAAACTTGGGCACATTCAGAAAGACTGCGCCGAGGTCAAGTGCTACAGATGTGGTGAGACCGGCCACATGGCCATCAGTTGCAGCAAGACGATCCAAGTCAACTGCTACCGCTGTGGCAAATCCGGACACCTAGCCAGGGAATGTCCTAGTGAGGCTACCGCTTAAATCTTTTCCCTTTGTCATCTTCCCCCGCTCCTTTTGCTGATTGATAATTGTATTATTTTCTCTGAAACCGTCACTGACCAAAAGGTTGATAGATTGAGGGTGCTTTCAGGCATGTGAGCTTTAATTACTCTGTTAAAGGAGGAAAGAGCTAGAAAAAAAAATCTCGGAAAAGTTAATCATTTGTATATGCCCCACAATTAATGTGCTGCTTTTGCCCCACAGGCAACTCTAGTTATTGAATAGTCATTTTGAGCACTAATCACTTTAGGGGTTCTTTTGGTGTATTTTGATTTAACACATTTAATTAGGAGGCACTATTGAAAGAGCTGGATCTACACTGGTGAACAAATCAGAACGAGTTTAGAAGCACTGGCCTAGAATCCATTAAACAGTGTGTCAGATAAAGATAAATTGCTATAGAGAAAAATAAGTGGAGGTAAAAGGATAAAAAGAGAATGTGTATGGAGGGGAAGAGGGAAAGGATGTGGTTCTGTTTTAGATACACAAGAACACCCTGAGGAGGTTATATTTCCTCAGAGATCCATAGGGCAAATAAAGCTGATTCTGAAAATCTGTGACCTTGCCAAAGTAACTTTAATTTTATCATATTGATGGCTTTGAATTATCTTTCCTCATTAGCTTTTAAACGATATTGAAAGAGACATCTCTGTCTGGCACTGCATAGAGTATGTAGTTTAATGAAAATAAACCAGAAACAAAATGTATAATGTATATGAGCTGCTTAGAGAGAGAGAGAGAGAGCAGTCCAAAACAAACAAAAACAAAAAACCTTAACAGGCTGGGCACAGTGGCTCACATCTGTAATCCTAGCACTTTGGGAGTCCAACCCAGGAGTATCACTTGAGCCCAGGAGTTTGAGACCAGCCTGAGCATCATAGTGAGCTTTTCTCTACCAAAAATACAGAAATTAGCTGGCTGTGGTGGTGCGTGCCTGTAGTCCTAGCTACTCTAGAGGCTTAAGTGGGATGACTGCTTGGGCGCCAGAGGTCGAGGCTACAGTGAGCCATGATCACACCATTGCACTACAGCCTGGGAGACAGAGTGATAGGTACCTTGTCTCTAAACAAAACAGAACAGAACAAAACACCTTAACAGCAAATCATGGACATATAGATATTGATGGCAAAGTTTGGACGTGTGTGTGCATATATATATATATATATACAGTATATATACAGCTAGTGCTCGACTTACGACCACGATTGGTTCTGACAGACCAGTCGTAACACGATTTGGTCGTAAGTTGAGTAGGCTATATGCTCGCAGAGATGGTAGTGCTGCCGGAAGCTGGCCTGCACTGTCGTACGCCCAGCTGGGCAACGTTTGCGCTGCCGGACGCGGAGCAGTCGTGGCTAGCGATTGTGGTCGTAAGGTCGAGTGGTCGTAAGTTGCATAGGTCATAAGTCGATCAATACCCGTATATAAAATATCTAAGAAAACAAAGGCCAGACACAGTGGCTCATGCCTGTAATCCCAGCACTTTGGAAGGCCAAGGCGGGCAGATCATGAGGTCAGGGGCTCAAGACCAGCTTGACCAATGTGGTGAAACTCCATCTCTACTAAAAATACAAAAATTAGCTAGGTGTGGTGGCACATGACTGTAATCCCAGGTACCTGGTAGGCTGAGGCAGGAGAATTGATTGAACCCGGTAGGCGGAGGTTGCAGTGAGTTAAGATGGTGCCATTGCACTCCAGCCTGGGCAACAAGAATGAAACTCTGTCTCAAAAAAAAAAAAAAATGTATCTTATTTGTAACTGAAGCCACATTATTTACTTATTTATTTACGTTTGAGACAGAGTCTCACTCTGTCACCCAGGCTGGAGTGCAGTAGCACAATCTTGGCTCACTGCAGCCTCGAACTCCTGGACTCAAACAATCCTGTCTCCTCATGCTCCTGAGTAGCTGGGACTGCAGGTGAACACCACCACATTCAGCTAATGTATTTTTTGTAGAAGCAGGGTCTCACTATGTTGCTCAGGCTAGTCTTGAGCTCCTTAGCACAAATGACCCATCAGCCTTGGCCTCCCAGATTACTGGGATTACAGGCATGAGCCACTGTGCCTGGCCATATTATTTTTTCAAATCTTTTTATAGATTTGTTTGCCCTCTTTACATGCCTTTGCATAGTGTCTGTTTACATCTTTTGCCATTTTTCATTATCTTATCACCAAGTCTAAGAGTTCTTTTGTTTTCTACAAAAGTCTTTTTTTTTTTTTTTTGAGTCAGTCTCTCTCTATCGCCAGGCTGGAGTGCTATGGCGCCAACTTGGCTCACTGCAACCTCTGCCTCCTGGGTTCAAATGATTCTCCTGCCTCAGCCTCCTCAGTAGCTGGGTCTACAGGCGCAGGCCACCATGCCCAGCTAATTTTTGTATTTTTTAGTAGAGTGGGGGTTTCACCATGTTGGCCAGGATAGTCTCTTGACCTATTGATCTGCCGCCTCAGCCTCCCAAAGTACTGGGTTTACAGGCTTGAGCCACTGTGTCTGGCCTACATAAGTCTTTTGTTGGAGGTGAATTTTGCATATGCATTCTCTCAGTCTGTGGCTTGCCTTTTCGTTTCGTAATAGTGTTTCTTTTAAAAGAAAATTTAGATTCAGGGGGTATATGTGTAGGTTTGTTACATGGATATACTACATAATGCTGGGGTTTGGGCTTCTATCCAACCCATCACCCAAATAGTGAACATAGTACCCAATAGGTAGTTTTTCAACACTTCTCCCCTTCTCACCCTCCCCCTGTTTGTAGTCCCCAGTGTCTACTGTTTCCATCTTGATGTTCATTGTTTATTTCCCACTTATAAGTAAGAAAATGCAGTATTTGGTTTTCCATTTCTGTATTAATGCACTTAGGATAATGGCCTCCAGCTGCATCCATATTGTTTCAAAGGACATGATTTTATTACTTTATATGGCTGCATAGTACTCCATGGTGTATACCTATCAGATTTTCTTTAACCAATCCATTGTTGAAACATAGTTAGGTTGATTCCATGACTTTGCTATTGTGAATAGTGGTGCGATAATCATATGAGTGCAGGTGTCTTTTTCATAGAATGAGTACTTTTCCTTTGGGTAGATACCAAGTAGTGGGATTGTTGGGTTGAATGGCAGCTCTATTTTTGATAAATTTCCATACTGTTTTTATTTGCCCACCAACAGTGTATAAGCTTTCCCTTATCTCTACATCCTCACTAACATCTTTTTGTTTTTTTTTACTTTTTAATAATAGCCATTCTGACTAGTGTGAGATAGCATCTCAGTGAATCTACACTCCTATGAACCACCATAAATGTAATCTTTCATTCCCAGCTAAGATCCCTTCTATTCCACTGAGTTCCTTTCCACTTCTGTGACCCTCTTGGGCTCCTAGAGATTAATTCTCTCGCTCTCTGTGCTGTCTCAACAAAATACACTCTCAGCCCCTAAGTGGGGCCATCTCAGTCCAATCTGCCAAGACACAATTTGAAACTCCTACATCACACTGAACAAACAAATATTATTGGGTCTCATCACTGTGCTGCACTTTATTTAGGAAAGGAGGAACACAGGATTCCGTGTTTGGATTCCTCCAAACCATCTGGAGTTTCATTTCCTATGCCCTCAGGAGTTTATACCAGAGTTGGAGGAAAAACAGTCTGTGTCCTTTTATTAAGGATGCACTCAGCCTTTTAAGTCCTCTACATTTCCATTCTCTAGGAAACCTTTTCTAGTCTCAGGAGAAGGAAAGCCTTATTTTGGCTCATCAATATCATTATGTCAGAAAATATGAAATGGTAGCCCTCTTACTGAATCAGGTTAACAAATGTGTTTAGTTTGACACAGAGATTGTATAACAATATTTGTGAATTAGATGTCAACATTTAAAAATTGTAAGTAATTACTGGGAAAAACACACACAAAACCTCCTAGAACTGATAATTATAGCAGGGTTACAAGAAAAAAGAAAAACATACAAAAATCAATTGTATTTCTATATATTAGAAATGAATACATGGATGCTAAAATTAAAATACTATATCAATTATAGTCACTCAAAAATGAAATAACTAAGTGTAAATTTAATGAAACATGTACAGTAATTTTATGTACATTTACTTACAATGAAAAGTACACCTCAGGTTAGGAGTTTGAGACCAACTTGGCCAACATGGTGAAATCTCGTCTCTACTAAAAATACAAAATATTAGGCTGGGTACAGTGGCTCACATCTGCAATCCCAGCACTTTGGGAGGCCGAGGCGGGTGGATCACTAGGTCAGGAGTTCAAGACCAGCCTGGCCAACATAGTGAAATTCTGTCTCTACTAAAAATACAAAAATTAGCTGGGCATAGCAGTGTGCACCTGTAGTCCCAGCTACTCAGGAGGCTGAGGCAGGAGAAACACTTGAACCCAGGAGGTGGAGGTTGTGGTGAGCTGAGATCTCTCCATTGCACTTCAGCCTGGGAAACAGAGAGAGACTCTGTCTCAAAAAACAAAACAAAACAAAACAAAAAAAAACACAAAAATTAGTTGAGCATGGTGGTATGTGCCTGTAGTCGCAGCTACTCAGGAATCTGAGGAAAGAGAATCGCTTCAACCTGGGAGGCACAGGTTGCAGTGAGCTGAGATTGCACCACTGCACTCCATTTTGGGCGACAGAGCAAGACTGCATCTCAAAAAAAAAAAAAAAAATTAGCTGGGTGTGGTGGCATAGACCTGTGGTCCCAGCTACTGGGGAGGCTGAGGCAGGAGAATCACTTGAACCCAGGAGGCAGAGGTTGTAGTGAGCCAAGATGGTGTCACTGCACTCCAGCCTGGATGACAAGAGTAAAACTCTATCTCAAATAAATAAATAAACTGACTTAGCCAGATTGTTGCAAATTAGAGCTACACAGGTCTGGCAAGGATGAGGCCAAGGTCCAGATTTAGTCAGGAAGAGGACTTAGAAGAGCCTGACTAAAATTTGATTCAAGACAGATTCATTGCCATTGCCACCATGCCTGTGCCTTCTCCCTCATACAAAGTCTGATAGGGGTGGGGCTTGGCCTGGAAGACAGAAAGAAGATGGAATCCTAGCCGGGCGCGGTGGCTCAAGCCTGTAATCCCAGCACTTTGGGAGGCCGAGGCGGGT